CCCCAGCAGCCCAGGGCGCGCTTCCACCACGGTACCGGCGGATTCGCCGTGCGCAGCCGGAAGATGGCGCAGACGCACAAAGCACACCGATGCTGCGCCATGATAGGGCCGGCGCCGCAGTGACTTCTGGGAAACATAGTCTCTAGGCGTGAAGGCCGCAGCCCGGCCTTGAAGCCGGATCTCGCGATGTTTCGAGGTGAGCTGGGCGCAGGCGTGCTTCCCCTGCGCGCGGGAGAGTTGTGTGTTCGAGTCCCTGGGTCCCTTTCTGGGGGTTCTTGGTGCTGTGCTATCTGCGTGTGATTCTCTAGCGAGAGATTGTGCGCGAGTGACCGAGTGGGCAAGGGGCTGTCACTGTGTGTGCGTGATTGTTGTGACGGTGTGTGGTGGTCACTTCGACTCCGCGTGGGTCGCTGACTGTGTGACTGGTACCGTTTAGCGGTGGATACACAATTGTGTGCCGCTGTGGAAGATTCCCTCATCCATTAAGTTCCCATTTCCGTGAAACAGCAGTTTTACCAGGTTTGGAAGGAGCCTTAAAAGTTTGGAAGCGTAAGTTTATCTGGTAACTAATTTTAAACATTACATATATGGTGAATTAAATGTGGGTTATGAAGGAGAACGCAAAATAAAAACGTTATAAAGATGTAAAGGAGTTTTATGGGGCGGCATCTCTTGGCCAAATACCAGACCGCCACAGGTAGGTGTTAATTCTCTCTTGGTTTTAGGCGGCTTTGGTGCCATCACGTGTGAGAAGCCCAGGACTTTACACATCCCCAGCCAGTGTGGTCCAATATGATGGGGAGTCCGAGTGCCAGATGCCGACCAGGACCTGTTATTCTGGGTCTCAGAATGAGGAAGCCCTCCCTGTCCGAGATGGAACAGTTCGTCCTTGAGTCAGGCCCGGAGTCCTGAGTTACTGTCTTCTGATTTGATCCTGTTTCCCTCAGACCTGGTGAGCTCTGTGGTGTAATAAGTGGGTAAGAGTGTGAGCCCTTAACCATCTCTAAGACTGGAGCCAGAATGCCTGAACTCTAGTCTTTTTTTTTTTTTTTTTT